AGGCAGAGTGTTGCCAGCAGGTGGAGGGAGGTGATCCTGCCCCTCTCCTCAGCCCTGGGGAGTAGAGCATCTGGAGTCCTGTGTCCAATTCTGGGCTCCCCAGGACAAGAGAGACATGGCACTGCTGGAGAGAGTCCAGCGGAGGGCTACCAAGATGATGAGGGGACTGGAGCATCTCTCCTCTGAAGGAAGGCTGCGAGAGCTGGGCCTGTTGAGCCTGGAGAAGAGAAGACTGAGAAGGGGATCTCATCCATGTATACAAGTATCTGAAGGGAGGGTGTCGAGAGGGTGGGGCCAGACTCTTCTCCGTGGTGCCCAGCAACAGGACAAGAGGCAACAGGCAGAAACTGAAACTCAGGCAGTTTCGTCTGAACCTGAGGAAAAACTTCTTTCCTGTGAGGGTGACAGAGCGCTGGAAGAGGTTTCCCAGAGAGGTAGTGGAGTCTCCTTCGCTGGAGATATTCAAAACCCACCTGGACGGGGTTTTGCGATCCTGTGCAATGTGGTCTAGATGACCCTGCATGAGCAGGGAGGTTGGACTAGATGATCTCCAGAGACCCCTTCCAATCTTGGCCATTCTGTGTGATTCTGTGATTCTGTGATTTATTTAGTATTCCACTCTGTATGTCTTATTATTTCAACTGTTAATGTAATGTCATGGGTGGAAAGATTTTAGGGTTTGGAGCATTTCTGAGATTTGGGCAGTCGATCTTGATATGTCAAATAATATAGGTACATTCTATAAATAATATGATGCTCAGTTATTGAATTATTTTAAATATAGATTTATGTTATTAAAGATACTGGCAATGGAATATCACAATGAAATTTTTACTGAGAAGACCTGCTGCCATTCAAAAATATTTAGATGGACCATTATGATTCTCTGATATTATCGATTCTGCTAAGTTAGTCCTTGGACATACGTGCACTAAGAAAAGACTAAACTGTTAAAACTACTTCTGAAATCTTCAGTACCCTTTGTCTACAGCCTTTTTTTTTAACATGGTGACAACTGCAAGACAGTGTCATTTTTTTAGTGTCTAATTCTCTGTCCTAACTCACCTGTCTTAATTTCTCCTTTAAGGTAAATAATTACAGTTTAGAAGAAGTTACCCATGAAGAGGCAGTAGCAATACTGAAGAACACATCAGATGTAGTGTATCTCAAAGTCGGAAAACCCACCACCATTTACATGACTGATCCTTATGGCCCGCCAGATATTACTCACTGTAAGTGACTTTTGCAATTCATTTTGTATGAGACTTCAGTTTGTCAGATGATCGTGTTTTTTCCTAGCTTGTCCAAAGTACCCTATTAAAGTTTGTGAAACAGCTTGGAGAGCTACAAAAATGAAATGTTTATTGCCACTTAAGTATGCTACACTCATGAAATATTACAAATAATATAACTCTGCTAAAGTACTTTTGCAGCAAAAATAGTGGTGGAGATGATGTGCTGGTGAGCTGATTCCAATTAGCCGTTTTCCAAGTAAGCAGATTGAACTGTATCTCTTATGACAGTTAATGTGATAACTATATGCAAATATATTTTGAATGTTATTAGATTTGTAGGCTGGTCCTCCGTCCACTGAAAAATCAGAACAAGCAGCAAACCATCCTGTACAAACTTAGTGAAAAGCCTGAGGAAAACGACTATGATATTTGCATATAATATTTACTTGGAATGTAGAATTATTGCTCTACCTACACAAATCTACCAATTTTCTGTGTATATCTGCATTCTAAATTCCTATCTCATTTTTCTCCACTCTCAGTTTGTCCTTTAGCTTTATATATGTCCATCTGACATTCCTTCTCTGAGGACTAAGGCATTGTTTGTCCTTGCATTGAACATACTCTCTGGGCTGGAGGAGAAGTTGTTGAAACAATGTAGCAAAACTCAGTACAAGCTCTTATGCAAGGGGAAGGTGATTTTATTCTAAAACATATTGAATTCCCTCAGGTTTTCATAGCCTCATGCTGCAAACTCATGCCCAGCATTCAGGTACAAAGACAGGTATCCAAGTGATCTGGTCAGGAATTCCTGAGACAACCAAGCCCAAGGGAGGCTGGCGGTGGAGTTCCCATCCTGTATATATATGCTCTTCTTAGACTGGCAACCTCCTTGCTGATGAGTCTTTTGTACCCCTTAGGAGATGACAGCAATTAGGATCTATTGTCTCTCCCTCTTATACCACCTCGGCAAGTCCTCAGGATTGACTTGGTGTCCTTTGTCTCCTTATCTGAGCGTTCTAGGCTCCAAATCCAATCTGTATCTCCTCCCATCATCTCTTAATGGCTTGAATCTTTGCTTTAATTTGAGTGTAGGCGGCACTGATCTGTCTGCCCTCAGAAACTGGAGTAGTGCTAGGGATATTGATGACCCATTAATCCAGGTGCCAACGACATGTGCCTTTCTTAAACCTTTCCATCCAGCTGTCTGTTCCATCAGTGCTTGCAAGTCTGATCAGTTTATCACTAGAACTCCCTTCCTTCATGTAGTTGATTATTAAACACTGTCCGACTGGAGTTCCACTACCAGCTGGGACCAGCTGCCACCATCTAACAACTGGATGGCAGTTTGTTTTGTGACAGGAGCCTCAGCAACCGATCCATATCTATCTATCTAGACCATCTGCCAATAATACTAGGGGTACTTAAGGCCAGCAGGCCAAGCAAGGACTGGAAAAGGCAGCTTTTCTCAGTAAAAGCGAGAGATTAAATTCCTCTGCACTTTTACATAGTGTTGCTCAACTGTGGACTGACAAAGCTGAAGGGAAAGATCACTATCCATAATCCTCCTTATTCAGACTACTCTGTAAAAACAGAAGGCAGGGTTTTGTAATATGCACATCAGGCGGTATACTCAACTGTGCTGAGGATACCTATTTACTTAGCAAATGTTATAACAGATGGCGTGATTGTTCACTAACAGTCTGGTCTGGATTCTTAGCAAAGCCTGAGAAATAAAAAAACTAAATATCCCCATCCAATCTCCTGCATTATAATACTTTCTAAAATAATAATTTAGGAGTTCTAAAACAGTGTGGTTTATTATGTCAGATTGTAAATCAGCAGCATATGAGAAGATGGAAGCAATTCCAGAGGGAGAATAAAGGTTGAAAAGATTTGCAGTAACCCATCTCAGGCTGCTGGTGCACAGAGATTCATTTATCCCCTGGGAACCTTTCATTATACCTACATGTTCAGAGTATTTCAGAGTAGGTAATAGCCTTTCCCCGTAGAGATGTTTTGCTTTGAAACATTCCATATCTCAGCATCTGAAAGAAAGACTGAAAGTAAGACTGGAAAGTTTAAATATCTTATTTTCATGAGCAAATCAGTCATAATGCACTGCAGAAGCATATGTCTTTGTTTTTCCTATTTATCATTTCCTTTCTGTTTATATTAACTAGAGATTTGAATACAACTGTTATTACATCTCTCTAGTAATAACAATAATATCCCCAGTAACTCAAGAATGGCAAAAAGCAAGCAAACAGCAGCAAAACTGGCAGACTCAATATAACGTCAAACAGCATAGCCCTATAATTCTCATTATTAATCACTGTATGTATAACATTTGGATCCACTTTCTGTTTTATATCCGAATTTACTGAGATCTGAATGATGATGTCATCTATGTTGGTACTGAATTTTCAATTATATTAGGAATTTGGCACCTTTAACATATCACAACTTTAAATCTTCACTGTACATAATCCTTGTCATACCTAAAATTCCTGCCCTGATCCTGCATTAAGCTCTTATTGTATTACTCCCACTGCCGTATGCTGGAGCCAAAATGATGAGTGTACTTTTCATCTCCTTCTTTCCTACCTGCATTTTCTTGTTCCAGGCTGTCCTAATTGAAGAAAATTTTTGTTTCCTCTCTCTTAAACTATTCTTTCTTATTCAGATCTCCTCTAAAGATTCACTCTCTGCACAATCAGTTGGCAACAGTAGTATTATTATTAATATTTCAGGAAAATTCCAGCTGTTCATTCTTTTACTGCCTTGTTAAATTTTAAGCTGTCTCAGGCATAGACTGCTTTGGTGTTATGTACAGCAATGAGCACATTGTTGGTACTTAACTGAAAACGATGTTGTTGTGACCTAATCAAACATGAATGTGGCTAACAAGAAATGCTTGTTCCTACCATCAGCTTATTCTCCACCAATGGAAAATCATATACTCACGTCTGGAAACAATGGCACTTTAGAGTACAAGACATCTCTGGCCCCAATCTCACCGGGAAGATACTCACCCATTCCAAAGCACATGCTTGTGGAGGACGACTACACCAGGTCAGATGATTTCCTTTATTTGTTACCTTTCACGACAATTGTAAAGAACATAGTTGAAACATTCAGTGCACCGCCGATAGAATAAGGCATATAGTTGTTGTCAGGCATCTTCAAAGGAAGATGAAATGAAACTGTTACAAGTATGAAGACAGCTAAAAGAAAGATCAAAGGAATGAACGATAACCTGAGGTCCATGATATCTAGATGCAGTCCTGCGCTAGTCAGAGCAACGCTGAGATTGGGCAAAATATTCTGCTCCTTAACAGGTGTAGTAGCTGTGATAATGCCTTGCTAGCATAGCTAGAAGATTTTAGGATCGGTGACTCATCTGGCTCACTGCATATTTGGGTGGAGTGACTATACGTATGTTTGTACCTGTTCCTGACAGCCTGCCCTGAAAGGTCTATCTTGTTTAGTTTAGCGAAAAGAAGGCTGAAATAGGCTGTAATTGCTCTGTGTACATATATTGAAGGATAAATGCCAAGGAGAGTAAAAATATGGGAAAAGAGAATATTTGTATAAACTGGCTGTGACTAAATTTAGGTGAGAAACTGGAAAAAAAATCTTAACCATTAGAGTAATCATAATATGGAGCACCTGTACTGTGAGAGTACAGAGGTAAAAAGAAAACTGCATGTACAATGGCACTTGATACCTTCATAAAAGGGATTCTTTGATGTGATTATCTGCAGTAGGAAAAGATTGAATAAAATGACCCTGGAAACCCCTTCTATTCCTTTTTTCTTACATTCCTAAAAGGATTGAGACTAGTATGTGGAAGTAAGGTAGCAGAATTTGATCCATTTAGTTGGTTTGACAAAGAGGGATAGAGGGACAAAGACAAAGAGGGAAATGCTGGGAGGGTTCCTTTATGTCTTGCGTTATATGAACACTGACTGTCATTGATGAGATAGTTTACTTTTTTTTGTTGTTGTTTGAAGAGAGCTGATATTCACTTGGAAGGCAATAGTTGCTAAATTTGTGAAATGAGCTCTCACTATGTCTAATGCAACAGAAAATAATAAATTTAAATGTTTTTTGCACTTCAGTATTTATAGATTGGCTATGTTTAAAGCTAGAATGGGGCTGTCCTGTTCATCTAACCTTGCATATGGGGTATTTCAGGTCAAAGAATCTCATACACTTATGTATTTATCAGCTTCGTAGGTCTACTAATTTGCATTTCATTTTTCTTGTTGCTTATGATTAAGATCTCAAGCTGCTTAACTTGTTGGATCAGACAGATTCAGAGTAACTAAATCATGATACAGTTTTTAATCAGGACATAAATGTCTGGAGACCACACCTTGCTTGCATGGCTTGAATACAGGAATTTCTCCTTTGTTTTGATTGAGGATACAAAACCAAGAGTGCTTTCCTTCAATTTATGAGACGTTCCTTTAGCATGAATTTTTCTCCAAACAAGCTACATTTTTTTAATTACTAGTTAAACCAATAATCTCATTAAATTGTGCGTGGGTTAATACTGATCTCACTTTTAAAATATATATGTGTAGAAAGAACGCTAATGTAATCTCTGGGTTATAATGATGAAGCTTTTTGTCAGTAAGCTTGTAGGACTGAATTCTGTCCTTTTGTAATGAGACATCAGCATCATTATTACTGAGAAAGACTTGGCAAGGTTTTTTTAATGGCAAAAAAATGCAGCCTCAAAAGTAGATAATAGCTAAGGAGACCACAAAGTCGCAGAGTGTGGAGGAAGTAAACCTAAAGAGGAGAAAAGCTACACTGAAACTGATTTACACTGACCATTCAGTTAGAAGAACTGAAAGGTGTTACGGAAGCATACTTAAATGGTCCTATGTTTCTTTACATTTAATCTAATTTATTTTAACTTACTAATTAGTCCTACTAAAAATATATGTATATATTCATAAAATAGAAGAGAAGGCAATGACACTCCTAGCCCATTAGGTAGGTAGGTATCCAGTACAAAGCATACCTCCTTGAAGAGTGCTGCAGGAGATATATTGAAACAAATTACTGTGTCCTTTTGATCTTTTTAGAGAGAAGGATGCCTTCCTCTCCCAATTTTTTTATTTTACTTTGAAACAATTTAATTTGCTGTTTTAGCTCCCAAATACTGACACAGCCCTAATCTCGACTGAGGTATTCATGCCAACCTCCATTTTGTGTTATTTGGGAAAAATGAATACCCACGAAAGCATGTATATTCCATGAATACTCCTCTGCTGTGGTGTTTTTGCTATCTAGATTTTCAGGATAATGGTTTTGTGGTGAAAGTCTGACATGAAAGTCTTCTGTAATGTTGTCACTACTGACATAAGAAACTGAATTTTTCTACAAATGTGACTTTCTATGGCAGGCATATAGCATTGGCAGAAATAGAGGTGTCAGGTAATAGGGGCAGACTCTGAATATGATTGAGCTAATCAAATCAAGGTCTTGTAGTTCTAAACAGGCATTTATTTCGACCTATTGGCAAGGAAGAGCATACTGTGCGCTTAATAATATTAATGATATTTCCTTATATGCTGCACTGATCACTAGAGTACAAAAGCACAAAGATAAAATGAATATAATGGCATGTTAATAAAAAAATGCACTTCTTGCTACTAGATTTCCTCACAGAACATACAACTGTCAGCACTCTCTGAGGGACACCTAAACGTGAGCCAGGAGGCCAGGTTTCCCCTCTGACTTCCGTGATGGAGAAGCTCTGACTTTCAGAAACAAACTGTTCAATCCTTGAATGAGGATGAGCCTTTCTTTTTAAATGCCTATACAGCTAATTATGACAGCTTACATGCCTATACAGCTAATTAAGTTAAGTGGGAGATTTAGGAAACTGAGCACTATTGAAAATCCTACAGTTAATCCTCACAGTGATTTTCACAACTATAAACTGAGAGTAGTGATTGCACTTTCTCTGTGCAACGCTGTAGGATTTGCTGATGAGTCTGCCTTTAAAATGAGAAGATATTTGGAAAGTCTTTCGTGCTGACCAGTTTAGAAATACTTAAAATCTTTTGGGAAGTTAATTGTCATATTGATAATTCTCGTGAACTGCTATAGATCCCTTGATGCTGCATTTATAATTAGGTTTCCTCACATAATTTTTTATAATTAAAATGATTGCCAACTACTGCAGTGCCATCAGTTAAAACTACCTGGTTCGCACTATACTAGGTTTTCAGGGCTAATTTACATGATGTTCACACAGGGAAATTTATTACCCATGCAGTCATAATATGACAACATTTCTGGCAGATTTCATTTGTGCCAGCTAAAAATATTTGGAGCAGCAGCTACTCCAGTGTAAGAGGCATTTGCAATATCGTAATTCTTTGTAGATGTGACTTGAGAAAAGCTGATGACAAACTTTCTTTTAACTTACTTACTGTAATGAATCTATGTGTAAAGTTTAAATAGTTGAACATTAGACAATAATTGTCCACTTTCTCTTGCGTTTTTGTTTTTCTTGTTTTGTTCCATTCCAGGTTTTTTATCTGAATACTGTTTTTCTTCTCCACAACACAAATATGTTTCAGTTGATAAAAACTTGTATTTTTTGGTCTGATAGTGAATCTGAAGATGAAAAAATTCTATATATCTTTTACTTAATAAAACTATGGAGAAAAATAGCTCAACAAGAGCAATAGGGAAAAAGTGACAAATACCATCTTGAGGCACAAATTCTAATCACACTGAATGTTATTGAATTATTGAATTTTTTTAGGCTATATTTGTTATTATTCCAAAATTCTATCAGTGACGGGCATTACTTTCTGATTTTGTTGAATTCATTTTAAAATCACTGGTGATGGAAGCTTTATCTTCTTGTATTTTTTATGAAGATTGTCACATTTTAGATTGTAAATAAAATAACAGAATTTCAGTTTAGTTAAAGTGGATAAAAGTCATATGCCAGTAACTATATCAATACAATCATTACATTCTGCAAGTAAGTCCTTATTTGAATATAAGGTGGAGGTGATATGCAGGCAATCTAGAAGATTCCTTGACTGCATTGCTAACAATTTCCTAATGAAAATGCTCCATAGGATAAACAGAATTAATTGTTGGTCTGACCTACTGCTTACAAAAGGGAAGAACTGGTGGCAAATGTGTTGATAAACAGCAGTTAGGGTCAGAGTGGCCATGAGTTGGTTCAGTTCAGGATTCAAAGGAAATCCGGGAAGATAGTCAGCAGGTTAAGACTGTAGACTTCGTAGGAGCAGACTTTAGCTTTTTTGGAAATTTGCTAAGCAAAATCTCTTGGACCGCTGCCACAGAAGCATAGGGTCCAGGAAAGATGGATGATTTCTAAAGAAAATGTATTGAGAAGTCAGGAATGAATCATCCTGTTGAACAGGAAGATGGGGAATTCAGCAGAAGGCCTTCTTGACTAAGCAAAGAGCTTCTGGATGAATGAAACTAAAAGACATAAGCAAGTGTTACTTGGGTGCTTAATGTCAAAATCAGAAACCTGATTGGCTGGAGCTAAGACTTACAAATGTCCTAAAGTATTCTTCAAATAAGTGATTGTACAGGTATGCCAGCTGCAAAAGGAAAGGGAAAATTTGGATCCACAGAGGAATGGGAGAGACAATCTAATGAAAAATAACATGGAAGAGTCTGAAGTTCTCAACACCTTCTTTCTTCTTTTCCTTAATCTTCACATGCAATGCCTGTATGCTCCAAGCATTTAAAAGTCAGGAAGATAATTGGAATAGTCAACATAGATTTACCAAAAGTAAATCACGAGAAGCTTGACCAACCTGATTGCCTTTCATAATGAAATGACTAGCTGTGTGGATGAGGGGAGAACAGTGGCTGTAATACCCTGGCCAGTGCTGCTGTTCCATATTAGCACAGAGGCTGCTTCGTGCGGAAATGTCTCTTTGCTGGGCTAAAACAGCCCTGTCTCCAAAAGCATACTGGCCCTACAGAGGTGCACCAGTGTGCTGCTGAAGGTACATGGCAACACCTGTTCACTGCTAACTGCCCTAGGCACT